CCCCGCCCCGCGCCGGGATGCCCGCCCGCGTCGCCCCTTCCCCTAGGGCAGCTCCGCCGTCCCGTCTCTTCGTCGTCTGCTGGGGCCCACCGCGCCCCCCACTCCTCCCCTGCTCCTCTAGCTGAGCTCGTGACCCGAATCCAGGGTCCTCGCCGAACCCGCCTCTCCGCAGCTCCCTCTGGACACAAAGGCGAGCCCCGGGTCCCTCCCCTCCAAAGGGCCGTCTGGAGGGAGCAGGCTGGCCGCGAGAAGGCACAGGCTGGGGCCGGGCCTCAGGCGGGGCCAGGGGAGGGGGCCGCCGAAGGGCTTGGGGCAGAGCCGGTGCAGCCCCTCCCGTGGTCCACCCCTCCCTGGCGCGGGAGATGAGAGGGAGACCCCGGAGCGCCTGCCTTCCCCTCCCAGCAGGTCCCTCCTCAGCTCTGAGCCAGTTCACGTCCATTGTAGCCCCCAAGTTCATCTTTTTTTTTTTTTTTTTTTTTGAGACAGGGTCTTGCTGTGTTATCCAGGCTGGTCTCAAATTCCTGGCTTCAAGCAGTCCTCCTGCCTTGGCCTCCCAAAGTGCTGGGATTACAAACGTGAGCCACCACACCGGCCCCTCCAGTTTATCTTTTATTTTTCTATCTCCCCTTTTTTTCCTTAAACCAATGACACCATCATCCTCCAGAATCCTGAAAGCTTTTACTTCTCCCTCTCTGTCAACCCTAGTGGCAACATGTGCCCATTTTTTAGACCAAAACCCCTCGGGAACGTGTCCACCGCCCCTGCATCCCACTGCCATACTCTGGCCTATGCCTCCATGGTGCCTCCCCACTCCAGCCTCTGCCTCGGTATCCCTGCCTGCAGCCACTTCCCCACCACCAAGGTGACATTTGAAGAGTTGGCCGGGCATGGTGGCTCAAGCCTATAATCCCAGCACTTTGGGAGGCCAAGGCAGTAGAATTGCCTGAGCCCATGGGTTCAAGACCAGCCTGGGCAACATGGTAAGACCTCGTCTCTACAATAAAAAGTTAGCTGGTCATGGTAGCTTGCACCTGTAGTTCCAGCTACTTGGAAGGATGAGGCGGAAGGATCGCCAGAGCCCAGCAGGTCGAGGCTGCAGTGGCTTAGAGTGTGCCACTGCACTCCAGCCTGGGTGACAGAGTGAGACTCCAACTCAAAAAAAAAAAAGAGAAAAGAAAGGAGTCTGAACTCAGAAGCCCTGGCCTTTGGGACTTAGCTTGTTGTGGGCCTCTTCTCTGTATATGTTCTATACCCTCCTGGGGTTGCCTTTTTTTTTTTTTCCTTTTGAGTTGGAGTCTCACTCTGTGGCCCAGGCTGGACTACAGTGGCATGCTCACCGCCACCCCAGTGTCGACCTGCTGGGCTCCGGCAATCCTTCCACCTCAGCATTTCAAGTAGCGGGAACTACAGACGTGCGCTACCACGCCCGGCTAATTTTGGACTTATTGTAGAGACAGCTCTTGTCAAGTTGCCCATACCAGTCTCAAACCCTAGCCTTTGTTTGCTTTTAAATTAGCAACTGTTTCAGGATTCCACAAAGGCATCAAGCTGTGGTTCTCGGAGGTAGTTGGAACCGCACCACCAGCATCACAAGGGAACTTGTTAGGAAGGCAAATTCTCGACCCCACCCAGACCACTCTGGGTGGCAAGCTAGCTCTTTTTTTATTTTTTTGAGTTGGAGTCTCACTCTGTCACCCAGGCTGAAGTGTGTGGCACGCTCACAGCCACCCCAGCGTCCACCTGCTGGGCTCCTGCGATCCTTCCGCCTCAGCCTTCCAAGTAGCCGGAACTACAGGTGCACAATACCATGCCCAGCTAATTTTTGATTTTTTATTGTAGAGATGAGGTCTCCCCAAGTTGCCAGGGCTGGTCTTGAACCTGCGGGCTCAGGCAATCCACTCGCCTCAGCCTCCCAAAGTGCTGTGATTACAGGCTGAGCCCAGCTAGCAAGCTCTCTTTTAACAAGCCCTCCAGGGAATTCTGCCCCCGTCAGTGTTTCAGAATCAGTGGTATGAGAATAATACCACAGGCAAATTGTAGTGGCTTATGCCTATAATTCCAGCGCTTTGGGAGGCTGAGGCAGGAAGATTACTTGAGCCCAAGAGCTCGAGACCAACCTGGGCAACATAGACCTCATCTCTACATACACACACAATTATCTGGGCATGGTGGTGTGTGTCTGTAGTCTCAGCTACTCAGGAGGCTGAGCCTGGAAAATCACCTGAGCCCAGGAGGTTGAGGCTCTGGTAAGCTGTAATCATAGTACTAAAATCCAGCCTGGGCAACAAACTGAGACTCAAAAAAAAAAAAAAAGAAAGAAAGGAAGAAAAGAAAAGAATACCACAAAGATCAGTGGCCCACCTCCCACATAAGAAAAAATTGGGCCGGGCTTGGTGGCTCAGCCTGTATTCCCAGCACTTTGGGAGGCCAAGGTGAGTGGATTTCCTGAGCCCGCAGGTTCGAGACCCGCCTGGGCAACTTGGCGAGACC